AAGCGAGCCAAATAAGGGAAATTTACTTTGAAACATCAATTTTAAACAGATTGAAATATTTTTATTGTTCTTTGTCCAAACTTGACTTTAAGACAGCATGTTTCAATATCTTTAATTTTTTTTACGTTTTCTATGTTTTAACAAATGATAACACATCTTAATAAACTTCTATTATTGATTACTTTATTCATTGCTTATAGATAAAATGTAAATTTTTATCTTTGGATATAAAGAATTTTCTCTATAGAAGGAAGGTGAATTGTTATGTTACATAGAGTTATCCAAGGTCTTTTTAGATATTTAATTTACAGTCAAATTAAAATTTACACAGTTTGTTGATAATAATGTTCAGAATGTCCGCTGATGAATTTCATAACAAGACCCCTTTCATAAGTTAATAAGTCTTTTAATAGTGATTATATAAAACATTCAATTCTTGGAAAGTTTTGATAATTAACTTTTTTTAGAAACAAGCATTTGAAAACTTGATTATTTGTTTGGATTTCAAAAGATGGTGTCTCTAGTTTTAATATAAATGTATGAGCAGACATGAATATTAAAGTGTATGCAAAATGTAGTATACATATTTGAACAATATGTCGACCGTGCGAGGCCCTGATTGGTAGTTAAGGTCATTGAAACCCCATAGTAGTAGATATAACCAGAATAAATCTTTTAGTTGTGACTTCATCTTATAGGTATATATCCTTTATAAACAACGTTGTAGTTCCAATTTTCTTCTTTTTTTTTCTTTTTGGATGAAAGTCTTGCAAGTCAAATCTGGTTTAAACACTGAACACGTCAAGACAAATGCATCATTTTTGTACAGCTATACTGACATATCGAAAATGTAATGACAATGCCCGCAAATAAATGGAAATGCTCGCAAATGTAATGCCACTTTTGACATGTACATATATATCAGGCTATAACTATAATGATAATCATACAGATTCACACACAATAAGAAATTTCAAAAATCATTACGTTTTATTCTCTCCGGAAAACAATAAATAAAAGACAGTTGTATTAAAGACTGAATGAGACTATAAAATAAACACAGAATTGAGTCATTATAAAGCAAACTACTTTAAGTCAAACCTAAAGGTTACCGTATGTAAACCATATTGCTATTGCAAATGACAAATACCGTTCAATATAGTACTACTGTCAATTTCTAAATACTTAGCCAGAAGTTTTGCGAAAAGTGTCAAAGTATACCAAAAATCGAGATTTGTTTTGTCGATCTTTTTGTCGACTATTGTACGGATTCCTGGCCAGTAGGAATTCCCATGAATCCGGAAGCGACATCAGGCACTGAGGAAAGGTTTGGCATATCCTGTTTTGCTTGCCCTATTAGCGACGAAGAACGAAGAGAAACTGGGAAATATGACATTGACTTCACCCATTGGTGATAATATTCAACCAAAAACGATCGCTTAACCTATGATTGCGACTTAAACCTTTAATATAGTGTAAAACAAATATGTGGTGTTTTAAGCCTTCTTCTGTCAACTTCTGTGACAATCATTGTGTTCTGTCAAAAACCGAAGCTATTTCATAAAGGAGCTTTAATACAAAACCCGTTATTAAATGTAAACACATATGCCAGTAATAATCTCAACAGGCATAGTCTGTGACTATTGTAAGTCGACAAGCTTTTGCAACCTTCGAACTTACATGTTCAGTATATGAAATTAAGATATACATGTATCTGTCTTTATTGAAGTTGGATACATGTTGATTGTACCACAATACCTCACCGGTTATAATATTTATCCGCTAGAGATTAGTTTTATGTTCTAAAATTAAAAATTCAAGGCTTGTCGAGCAATTTAAAAATGTGAAAATAAGATATCAAGAGTGCAAAAATATCATCATTATTAGATAGAAAGGTAGAACATGCTTCTATTATCATTTAGTAGAAAATAACGAGTATTATTAATGTTTCACTATATTGTCGGATTACTTCCGTCAATAATTTTTTATCAATCATTTTGCTTTTAAATGCAAATAAAAATTACGGAACGTTCTGAATAAATCTAACATGAAGAGGCTAGCGAGGGTAAAAAGGGAATATTCTTTTTAGCAAATACCACGAAAGACAAGGTAATTTGGTATATATATCCACAGGGAGTCACGAAAAAACCGTGACTAACTGCAACACAGCGCATAATGGAGAAATAGGTCAAATGCGGCCCGGATACATTCTTTCCATTTAACACGGTCTCTAGCTGTTTTCCTTGCTGTAGCCCAGCTGGTCCATCCAAGTGTCTTTATGTCTCGAAAGTTCGTCTCCAGGTGGTTTTGGGACGTCCAACCTTCCCTTGGTTTCAATATCAGTGCCACTGCACATATACAGTAACTGTTGGTATCCATTCTTAGTACATGGCCAATCCATCTTCAACACTGTTCCATAATATCATCACTTAAATTCTTTGTTCCAGCTCTGATGTGAAGGTTTTCATTTGATATGGTGTTGGGCCATCTTATTTACAGAATTTGTCTCAGACATCTATTTTGAAAGGTGTTTAATTTCTTTTATCTTGTTTTGTTGTTTTCCAGGTTTCACATCAATACAGTAGTACCGATATTACCAAACTGTTAAATAACTCAACCTTTGTTTTGAATGTCAACATTGATGATCTCGATATTTTCCTTAACCTGCTAAATTGGCCTTTGGCTTTCTTGAACATGTTTTCCAAATGCATCTCCACCCCTTTTAAATAGAGAGGATGTAATCTGAAAAGTACCGACAAAGAAATAAATCTGCATGGAATTTCATAATGTTCGTGACTATGCCAACCATTTGTTTGAAGAGAAAATAGCTTTTTTTTTTTATCGAACTCAAAAAGGAATATTTAAAAAAATCAATATTCAAATGAAACATCGTTTATTATGGTTTCCCTTTGATATTTCATTGTGATTAGAATAAGAAATATTTGCAATGAAAATTGTTCATACATGCAAACCTGAAACATCAATATGATTAAACTGGGTTAAAGCATTTGGGAACAACACAATATTGGCATTTAAAGACAGTTGAAAACAGTGATAAATATCCCACGTCTCTTTTCATATATTTCTACTATTCGTGATTGTAAAAGTTTGCGAAAAGATTACTCCATTTTTTACCCTTAACTTATTATGTGGAACCTAGAAAAACTGTCATACAAGTCAGAAGAATTTGGTGCCATGAAAGTGCTGATTTCAATTAAAGTGCATATACATATACGCCAACAAATAAATACTTATTTGCGCCGTTAATCACGATTAAGTTTCAATGTAAGTTGAATCCCATATATGAGGCTCGTAAACTGAGAAGTTTTTTAATGGACTGATTTCAAACCCATGTTTCATATAATAACTGAAAGCCACTTAGATATAAAATTGATATAGTGTTCACATGTTCGAAGTGAAACTATTGACATTTTGTTTTACGGTGAGGGAAACAGAGGAAATAAGTCCAGTACATTTTATGACCACACATTATCCAATGACGTTTGAAGAATAGACAAGTCTTTTAGATATTCCCCAAACAATTTGCAAAGCAATTATCACAACAGAGCGTAACAACATTAATGTCGTAAAAACATTGCATAATCGAAAAATCAAACAGCCAGATTTAATAAACAAAAACCAAAAAACAAATATGAGTAACGGCAATCAACAACGACTACTTACATACATCTTATAAATTTTAGAAAGATGCTCAAGAAGCTAAAACCTATCAAATACTAGTATCTTGTTACGAGCGAACTATTATAACTACAAACATTGGGTTTAAAATCCATAGAATGGTTGAAATCTTATTTGACAGAGAGAAAGCAGAAAGTAAAATTTATGTAAATGGCTTTGAATCTAATTTTCACACAGGTACCTGTGGGGTACCTCAAGGTATTATTTTGGGTCCACTTTTATTTTGGTATTATGTAAATGAAATGTCTATAAGTATAAGTTCCGATTGTAAATTATTATTATATGCTGGTGGTAGCACAATTTTATTTTCGCATAAGAAACCCGGAGGTAATATCTGAAAAACTTGGAAGGGAACTCCAGTCTTGCAGTCAATAGTTAATTGATAACAAATTATCCCTTCATTTGGGCAAAACTGAATGTATTTTGTTTGGTTCAAAACGCAAACTTGCAAAGGTAGACAATTTTCTAGTCAGCTGCAATAACCATATTATTCAAGCTCAAAATTGTGTAAAATACTTGGACCTAAACATAGACAGACATTTGTTGGGGAAATTATTGTCAGTATTATTTTACAAAAAGCCTAACGGCAAATTTGTACCTCTCAATCGGTATTTTTGGCAAATACCCCTTGTAAGCATGATATATTTGTATATTATTCAACAAGAACTATTGAATACATTTTTTTTATTTTTATACCACCTATAAAAGGGCAACCGACTTTAACATTTTATTATAATGCTATAAAGGATTGGAACTTGTTGCCAAATGAATTAAAGAGCAACACAAATTTTGAATCTTATAAGTCTGGTGTTAAAGAATTTCTGTCAAATAAGGAAAGCAACGATTTTAATAGCACATTGTTATTTTATTGAATGGCTTAAATATTCAAGTCAATGTATTCGTAAATTTTAATTTTAACATTATAAGTATAAAGCCTGCCAAAGTCATGATTTCTAATAACTATATTTAATATTTTTAAGAATGTAACATAAAGGGACCACATTGGAAATAAGCCGTATGGCTTTCATTGGCAATACTGATAGGTATCATCAATTGTTTTAACATTTTATGATTTTAGTATGTTTACATGTCTGCTATTGTTTTATACTACTTTTGTAATGTTTTATACTGATATCTATCTATCTATCATATGTCGGTCATATGTTAGAAAAGCCGTATCACTGAAAAAACCTTACACACACAACGCTACGATACCGCAAACAAACTGTGGTATGGAATAAAATCAAGGGAAGTTGGCACTATTTCTTCACAACTATTTCATCACCAATCTTTCATTTCAGGTAAAAAATAAAGCAGCAAGATGTGCAGTCCGAAGTGTGCAACTATAATTCTGATTGGCATAAACGTTATATTTTTCGTACGTATATATATATCGACAATGACTATAAAAACTTAAATATACAGTCATCTAATGTTGGTATTAATGATTTTAAAATGTTAGCATTAATAAATAAACATGAAGTAAATATGGTAAAAAATATTGAAAAAACACAAAAAAAAAACATTAGTTAGAGCAAAGTTTAAGGATAACTTCAGACACAAGTTAAAAACAGATTATTTAAAGTGAACTTTTCAAAAGACCAGCATAAAGAGTATAAATCTTTTTGTTCACGTTTTAATCGTACAATTTTCCTTGCAAAATTAGAAAAATGACGTATTGTTATTCTTTACATGGCATTTCAATTTGTCACATTTTCATTATTATTTTTTCCGCAGTTTTTATTCTATTTTGTAATGGAGCAAACAGAAGAAGGATAAATGAAAAACGTTCCATAATGTCCAATTTTAATCATTATATATTATATTTAAATGAGTGAAGCTGCTTTTTTCTTTAATTATACATTATACAGGTCAATGCTATAACATAAATGAAATAAAATATAAATATTATCCAAATTTAGTTAAAATTCTCTAATAATTTTTAGCTGCTTGGTCTTGGAATTATCATCCCTGGTATATTACTTCTAGTCGACAACGAGGCTATCAATGACAAGATAATACCATTATTCAAGGAACTATCATTAGGATCCACCAACTTCGGAGATTTGGCTAAAAATCTGCCTATAGCACTAATAAGTCTTGGGTCTTTAGTGCTCGTCATTTCAGTAATAGGATTGTTAGGAACGTGTTGCTGTAAAATCAGATGCTTCCTTATGGTGGTAAGTTACTACAGTTAAAACTCATACTGTAGGTTCCGGGACAATCCAATAAAACATCGTGAAAATTACAAGGAATGAATGCAATCAAATCATAGACAAACTTCTGAAATGTAATAGAAGGATCTACAGAAAATTGGATATTTTAAATGGTCTAGTGGAATCAGTAGTACCTATAGCTATAAAAATATATTAGATACTTTTATTTGTTTTAAAGCAGCAAAATAGATCAGAATGAAGTACATCGTTCATGCCTTGATTACTGTTACAATTGCGCTACCATAAACGACCATGTTACAAGTAACTCACAAAGATACTCTTAAATGAATTAACATATATATAATTATATTGAAACACAAAATTAGTTTGCTGAAAATATTTGTGGAACTTTTAGTGTTAATGAAAGTCGAATCAGTCAGTCTCAACGAGGCTTTCTATGAATTGAGTATTACGACCATTTGAAGCAACAACAGTGTAAATCTTTTGTCGTAATTTTTTTAAAGATCTGTCGATAGATTGTTGTTTTGCATTGAGTAATTTATTTTTTGTATGATCTTTATTTCATCATTAGTAAACGCCCATTTAAAATGATACTTGGCGTCTTGAAACTAAACATGTAAAAATAGTTTTACTATTATATTTTGGTTGACTGAAGAGAATTGGATAAGGGAGCTACCATTTGATTTTTATGGGGGGCTAGGATGAAATTTGAAAAAATAGGCAGGACAGGATTTTTGAGTAAAAAAAAAGGCAGGATGAGATTATTTGCCAAAAAAAAAGGCAGGATGGCAATTTATGTAAAAAAAAAAGTCAGGATAAACTAAATAAAAAAGGCAGGACCAAATAGAGTGAAAAATAAAAAGGCAGGACCGAAAAGAGGGGAAAATAAATAGGCAGGACAAAATTTTTCATCCTAGCCCCCCCATAAAAATCAAATGGTAGCTCCCTAAGTGTTAAAATATTATTATGATTTTTTTAGATTTTCGCATTGCCCATAATCCGCACTAATAGTTCGGGTTAAAAGAGACATGTCACCTTCAAAAAAAAGAAGCTTTTATCTCTTCAAAACAATTCAGAAGAAAAAATAAACGATAATTTAAAAATATTTCTACTCAATATTTCACTGCTGTTTATATCATTTACTTTTTTTTAAACAAGCACACTATCAAGATGAAGAACAACAATAAATGCGTCTTTTATCTTTTATCTTTTTGATAGATTTTCGTACTTGATATATCAGTATAAGGAATTGTAGTCTTGTTGTAGGACAATTATTATTTTTTAATTGTCTGATTTCAGTATGCCATTATCGTTATTATACTGTTGATTGGGAAAGTAGTTGTTCTGGCACTATGGTATTTCATGAATGACAAGGTGAGATGTATATTTAACTAAAATATATCGATTAATACGATGTCTGTTGATGTAAAAATCAATTAAGAGAACAAATAAAACAATAAGCTTAGGTTCTGCAAAATAAATCGTCCAGGATGAAAGGCTAGGAAAAGAATATACAGAGGAAGTTGCGGGAATTTTGTCTTACAATAGGTCATCATTTATGAAACCGTCAAAGAGTTTAGCAAGAGTTCTGTTACGTTGCACTCTCCCAAATGGGAGTATAGGTTTTGAAGTTCAAACGTTTCGACCCATCTGCGTATTTATACATCCCGAATAACCACTCAGTCCTGCTTTTAATGCCTGATGGGAAATATCCATGGAATTAGTATTCTTTGCCCCAGTCTTCGGTTTGGAGAAAGTCATTGAGTATGGCTGGGTTACATCAGAAATGTAGTGGACTTGCAGAAAGAAGAGAATATTAAGACAGAAGACACAATGGGCATGTGTAAAACATGGTCATAGGAAAAAGACGAGCAGGAAAACATGGTCACATGAAAAAGACGAGCAGAAAATTGAACATGGCCATTGGAAAAAGACGAGCAGTAAATTAAACATGGCCATAGGAAGACCGAGGGTGAACTGCAATGCTCTGGAAGGGTCAACAATGCTTTAATATGCTCAATAAGGATATTGTTGCTCTTGGCTTTTAACGTGTAGAAATGTGGATCCCGCCCAAATCATGACTTGCAATTAACGTTCTCTAATAAACAAAATACGACTGCGCATTTATACCTCCCACACAACCAAACGGATACCCTCGGTAGGAAGCTTTCATTTGGACATATGTAATACAAGTAGACACCATTAAGGTTTAATACAATTTGGTAATATTCAGAGTATGTTATATGTCAAATCATACACAATGATACACATCTTGCTCATGCGAAAAGTGTGTTTCTTCTTCATTCTGGTGAACTGCATCATATTTCACCATTGTATCAAAGGTTTTGTTGTTGTAAATTTTGTTTTTATTTAAAAATATGTACTTATATATTAATTAATAAAGTATGCAAAACATATATTATCCATAGTTCAGTACAAAAAAATGCACGGAACAAAATTTTGCTTCTTGCTACTTTGTTCAAATTCAGCAGGCACAGCAAATATTTCACAACAACATAGTTCTAGAGTATTTCCACTTTTTTTTTTATCATTCATGCTATTTGTTTTCCAGTTCACGACTACAATAAAGGATGAAATGTTGAAGAACTTGAAAGCTAAATATACAAATGATGATTTAACAAGCAACGAAATCTCTACATCCTGGAACCAGTTACAGTTAGCTGTAAGTAGTAATGTTATTTTACATTTGTCATTTTAGGTCCTTTTATAGCTTACTGTGCGGTATGGGATTTGCTCATTGTTGAAGTCCGTACGGTAACCTATATCTGCTAACCGTCTACCTCATTCGGTCTCTGTTGGAGAGTTGTCTCATTTGCAATCATACCACATATTTTTTTTATTTTTGTATAGTATATACCATAACAGTTTAAACTCCAAAGTAATAAAACTGAAATTCAGATGCCATAACAATATTTGGATGCACATGCTTTAAAAATTTCCGTTTAGTATAACAAACTGATTAGATATATATTCCTTTCATCATGTACTTTTTTTGGGAAACATTTATAAACACTTTCTTGCTTAAAATATTTTGTTCTGTTCTTTTTCAAGATAAATAGGGGATACCAAAAACTCCCTGAGTACTAGTATAGATTCTTTCTCGCACTATTAATGATGTTTTAGTATGAATCTATTAAAAGTAACGGGAGCACAATCAGGCAGAATATGAAGAGTCTAAGTCTTATTCGCATGTAAAACCAATGAATTAAGTGATTTACTAGATTAACATCTACTTTTAAATGTATCATTTGTTCTTTCATTGATCAAGGTTGCAGAGGTAGATTAAGTTCTAAAAACTCTTAAATCTATTTTATTGGCATGTTGACCGATTGCGGATTCGCTTGAGGATTTTTGTAGCATTGAAGGCCTGAGCACCGGCCATTCATCTTTATGAAAAAAGGGAGCGTATTTTTTCTTAGGAAAACATTTTTTCAATTGAATAGTTATAATAACCGGCACAAACAAAAATGTATGCAAATCCATAAATATTACAATTTAACACAGGTTATGCACTTATGGTGCTTTTGTAATTTATATATATTTGGAGCAATTTAATATTTTCAGTTCGAATGCTGTGCAATTAATGCCGTTACATCTGCCACTAATGATTTTGACAATACAACTTGGCAAACCGGTAGTCCTCCTCCTTCTACTGACATACCTATATCATGTTGTCCGGGTGTGACGTCATCAAACTACACTGCTGCAGCTGCAACAAATCCGTTATGTCCATCGCTTACAACCGTTGCACCATCCGGGCAATATTCTAAGGTAATTTTTAAGGAAAAAATTAAAGTCAATGAAATGTATTGAAATTTACTAGAGGAGCTTTTAATGAATTAATTGGTATTGGATGTACTTAAATACATATTGTAAATATCCAAATGTCTACATCAAAAATAATAGTATTGTGGACTTTTTTTAAAAACATCAAGAAAAGTATTTTTGTACTTTTAATTGTGAGCCACTATGATAAAAATTGTGACTACTTAAAACTTTCGAAAAAAAAAAGATTTTGACATTGAATGAAAAGGAATATTAAACAAAAGGATAGCCATAAGAACGAATACTTATTTAAACCATACAAGTAACGTTCGTATCACGCCTATCAAACACATTGGGTACAACCTCGTGTAAAACACAGGGAAACACTAACTACCATGAGTTCATGTTTTTTTCATACTAAATCATAAAATTGTTTGCATCTCTTGTGGATATCATCAATGATTACTAATACGGGACAATATTCCACAAACAACCCGAGGTTATTCACATTTGGCCGAGTTCATTCACAGCAGATATATAGCATGTCTATTCTACCCGGACTGTGGTTTGTAATTAATTTAAGGAAATCTATTAAACCTTAAGTACTGCTGAATCAGCATTAAACCTCAAATGAACCGTGATAAGTAGTCACTTTTATACGGGAACACAGTGATGATGAATGTGATAACAGAACTATTGTTTTAGTGTTTTGATAGAAATTCACAAACGTTATTAAATGTTGCCAATTGGAAAACAAGATTGTATTGAAATGCGTGAAAGACTCTTTTATAATTCTGGTCCAAAAATAAACAATATTGCCTTGTCGTTTGTTGTTGTTTATCATATTTGTTTATTCGTTCATTGTATTGTACATAAACCAAGCCGTTAGTTTTCTCGTTTGGATTGTTTTACATTTGTCATTTCTGGGCCTTTTATAGCTGACTATAGTTGTTAACTTCTATGTCATTTGGTCCCAGATTGAGAGTTGTCTCATTGGCAATCATAACACATCTCCTTATTTTTATAAGTATTATATAACTTAGACCAAAGTTTCTCAAATTTGACCAGAATTAAAAAAAGAGTCTTTTACGCGTTTCGATACAATCGAAACATCATTATCAACTTATGATAAAAATAAACTGTAAAAACTCGTCAAAACTGCAGCCAGTAACATACATATTTTCACTTTAATTTTTTTTTTGATTGGGGAGTGACTTACATAACTCTGACATAGATTTAATTTTATAAAGTCTCATAATAATCTATCACATTTTAGCCTTGATAATAATTTTATAAAATCTCATAATAATCTATCACATTTTAGCCTTGATAATAATTTTATAAAATCTCATAATAATCTATCACATTTTAGCCTTGATAATAATTTTATAAAATCTCATAATAATCTATCACATTTAAGCCTTGATAATAATTTTATAAAATCTCATAATAATCTATCATATTTAAGCCTTGATAATAATTTTATAAAATCACATAATAATCTATCACATTTTAGCCTTGATAATAATTTTATAAATTCTCATAAAAATCTATCACATTTAAGCCTTGATAATAATTTTATAAAATCTCATAATAATCTATCACATTTAAGCCTTGATAATAATTTTATAAAATCTCATAATAATCTATCACATTTAAGCCTTGATAATAATTTTATAAATTCTCATAATAATCTATCACATTTAAGCCTTGATAATAATTTTATAAAATCTCATAATAATCTATCACATTTAAGCCTTGATAATAATTTTATAAAATCTCATAATAATCTGTCACAATTAAGCCTTGATAATAATTTTATAAAATCACATAATAATCTATCACATTTTAGCCTCGATAATAATTTTATAAAATCTCATAATAATCTATCACATTTAAGCCTTGATAATAATTTTATAAAATCTCATAATAATCTATCACATTTTAGCCTTGATAATAATTTTATAAAATCTCATAATAATCTATCACATTTAAGCCTTGATAATAATTTTATAAATTCTCATAATAATCTCTCACATTTAAGCCTTGATAATAATTTTATAAAATCTCATAATAATCTATCACATTTAAGCCTTGATAATAATTTTATAAAATCACATAATAATCTATCACATTTAAGCCTTGATAATAATTTTATAAATTCTCATAATAATCTATCACATTTGAGCCTTGATAATAATTTAATAATATGTACCATCTCTGTATAATGTTATTTTGTTTGTTTGTTCTAGGGTTGTTATGATGCAATATACGACTTCATAAAGGGATACTCGCTGTGGTTTTATATCGGAGGTCCTATTCTTTTCCTTATCGAGGTAAATATTGACATTATCCAAAAAAAGGAATACCAAGCTACGGCTGTAGTCAGATAATGTATTAATTTATGCATACTTTTGTTCTGTGAATGGAAGACACTTTATAATTTTCATGATATAAAACGTAAAAAAATCTGTTTTCATAGAATCATCTTTGAACAAATATTTTAATTTTTAAAATTTTTTATAAATGTAGTTCAAACTATTATATATCACTTCTACAATTTAACTACATGTTACTTGTTTGTCTTTTCCTCGTTTTGCGTTTGATTTTTGTTGTCAGTATTCCTCTAGTTTAGGACCCCCTGTCCTTTGCATCTTCCGACGTTTGCTATGATTGTACAACATTGCGATAATATCGGTCGTAAATCGATTAATATGAAAATAATAAATGCCTATACCTATTGATAAAAAATAATATTCTAATATAATTACAATTCATCACTCATATCATGGACAACAAACATTGATTACTTCCCTTTTGACATGTAAGGTATTAAACTGAAGTCGTGGATGATATTTGCCTCATTCGCTGATAATCGGCCTGAATAAATCCATTCTTCCCAGTTGGTGCAACCCGAATGTCTTTCTCGCAAATCAACAGATGTGAAATTTCTGCAAAAAAAAAAAGAGAAACAATATATATTAAATCACCTTTAAACAATCAAATGTTAATGAAGTACTAGTATATCATTAAGAGTGCGATTTCTAGTCTGTAAACAAGTCCTTTCCATATTTTAACTTTCCATTTGTAGTGATGATTTAGAATGAAAACGTTTAACGCTCGGCTATAGTGCAAGTTAACACAACAACAGTTTCCGGGAATTTTCATCAGGTTTGTTCGAGACTTAAAATACGCAAAAGTTCGAGGGTCTAGAATCACTCTCCTCTAGACCATAAATCCCTATTAACTGTAGTCAATAAGCTTCAAGATTTTAGTCTCGATCATATACTGAAGTGACGAAAATGTCAATTATATGAACTTGCGCCATACCAATTTTATGCCTTTTTTTATTATGAATATATTTTTGTAACAAATAGAATATTTCATACAAACAAATGTATCAAGTATCATTTAGTGTGACAGTGTAATAATAAATGATAAAAAAATAATTTCATAATCTTATTAAAGACCAATAAATAATATCAATTATTTTGCATAATTTGCTATTTTACTTTTCTTACATTAATTTCCGTTAGTTAACATCTATAAAAAAAAGTTTAACAGTTCAGATTTCCGTTTCAGATCTCTGGAATTGTATGTGCTTTTTACCTGTTTTGCAAAAACGATAAAGAAGATGATTAGGAAGCAAAAGATTTGACTCTGGTTCTTAACTGAAAAAAGTGTTTGATATGGAGTCAAGGACAACTATACAATCATGTGTGGTATCAGTTATGACGCAGTCTTTTATGATAAAAAAATGTGCAGAACTATGATAGTAGTTACCAGTATGTTTTTCCTCTAACGAACTGTTAATATGTTGTGGTCATCTTCATTAATAATATGCTTTTCTAAGAAAAAAATAAAAAGGTCTCGATGGACTTTTGAAACATTGTATAATACAATCATTTTTTGCAATAAAACATTGTCATAAACCTCATTCAACATAATTTTATGCATTTTATCTATTTTGCATTTCAAATTTACCCATTATACATGGTTAGTTATTTAGTGTATTTTATAATTTGGTAATATAGTTCCACACTGATTCAGGTATTTAGATATCTTGAGCTTTCAATGTTTGGGGGATTCAGCGTCCTGATTAAGGTAAATCAAAAAGAGCAAATCGAACGCACCAAGTGTTTTGTACCTACAATTTGTATTATAAACCGGTATGACGGATGTGTCATGTGTGTGCTACAGACAACCCTTTCTTAGACGAGCTAACATCACTGCAATAATGTACTTGTCGTGTATTTACTTATTTCCTAGCTGGTCGGGCAAAATTTTTTTTATCAATATAAATAAAAGTATATGTTTGTTAAACGTCAATGAAACAGTAACCTGACGAAACAAGATATTAGCGACTCGCCTTTTATACCGGTTTGGCTCTTTACCGACTTTTCACTGGCAATACATGCATGACTGGTTTTGCGTGTGAGGCAGGATATGCTTACCATTTGATATCAGTTCCTGGTTTGACGGGAGTTCTTATTTTCCGAAGTTTTAGTTTTTGTGTGTGTTGTTCGTATACGTCTATTTGTGTCCCTTTTTTGTTCGAGTATTGGTCTCGGGATGTCGCTTTTCTTACCACCCCTTTTTTAACATAATTCTACCTGTCATTTATCAACGCAATACTTTCTTTTATTTCCACCCAATATATAAAATGTTGTGTATATGTCAATAAACAACCAATCAACACAAAAACCAAAAATCTAGATGTCAACATACAGTCTTCGACAATATTCCGGTGTCTATACATTAAATAAAAACAAGCTTTTTAAAAATCGCCCTGGTTAAAAAAATGTGTGTATGAATGTAACAAATACTATTATATATCTGCCATCAACGCCATGTTCCCCAATCGAAAAAAAACCCTTTTAATACGAAAGCATAACGATAGACGAGGTTCCTGTCAAGTACATGAATATGTGGCGGGGTTTTTACTTATTTTTTTTAGATTTCAACACTCCTCCCTTATAAACTCGATCAGTGGAATAATAAAAGATACAATACATAAACGTCTATTTGAAGTTCTATATAGTATACATTATGTCATATTTACTTTTATTGCTGTATTTAATTTAAACCAAGATATTATGGTTAATGCAAAAGGATGTATTTCAATAATGTTAGTAGGGGTTCTTTTATCAATTTAATCTTATTTTATTGTAAAGCACGATAAACGCATGATACCCAATTACATTTATCTTGGTGTAAAAAAAAACTCGAGATTGACTGGGGAATAGAAGTATGGTAAATCGTGGTCTCCTTTTGACCGGAAGTAATTAACCCTTGCCAAAGTGTCCGCTTGGCTGTGCGAGATGTATAAATACGCAGCCATGTCCGGTCAGAATGGAGTCGTTAAATCTGAAGCCTTGTGTAGAGAAGAATGTCACGCTTGGCTGTGCGGGATGTTTAATAAGCAGCCACGTTCGGTCAAAATGGAGACGTTTAATCCGAAACCTCGTGTAGAGAAGAATGCCAGAATGCCACGCTTCTACGCGTTAGGAATCCTTGCAACAACTGTTTTAGGGGTCCGTGAGTGGTCTGTTGCAAGGCGAAATTTCAATCCCTATCAAATATACCCTTGTTTTTTAGTTTTTTTTTAGTGGCAGTTCGAATTTCTCGTCCTTCATTTCCGTCAACCGCCATTACAGGACCAACCTATTGTATTTTTTGTTAACCTGTTCTTGTCCTGAATATGGATGAACTATTTGCCACTGGACTTTAAGCAAACAACAATCATCATATTGGTGCAAAAAAAAGAGATCTGAACCCTCCTACTTTTTAATCTCAATCAGTGGAATGATATAATGATCATAAAGAATCATAAAATAACAATTTCTATTTGAAGTGACATGATTTCGTATAATATTATTTTTGTGTAATTCATTTATTGTATACAATAAAACTACAAGTGTTAGAGTGATTTAGATAGCATTTGTTGATTTGAAAATGTTTTTTTAAGATTTTCAAATAGAATATATCCGGGTGGAAACTTTCACGATTCTTGGCTTTTGAGTTCAAGTTTTATTGGTTATTTACTTGTCATGTCTGTTCGTGTGCGGTTTCTTTTCTTTACGACACAATTTTTATGTACATTAGAGTTAATAAATATGAATAACCGTTCATTTCTTCATGTTGTTATGAGTAATATATGGTTTTGTGCAAACAATTATATGGCTTATTTCTAAAAAAAAAACAAAAACAAAAAAAAAACTGTTACAGTTATGAATTATTTCAAACTACGTTGTTCATTTCGAGTCATGTTCAACAGTGGAGATAGCGTTGGTTAAACTGTTGGAAGAGAAAATTGCTTTTATACACGAATGGAAGATCCTTTATATTGTTCTTGATATTCAAAAAAATAGACACATGTTTTCATGGAATATTGAAAACTGGATAGCGTATAGCGTATAACACAAAATGATTTATATTAAAAATGTTTTACAAAATATTGTTCTCCCTATTCCTTCAATGTAACCACTGAGCACTTCCAAGAAACTTTGGCGTTTCGCTGTATTCGTCACACTTTTAACATGTTTAAGTTTTATCAAGGAAGATTTACTAATCTTTTGAAATCCATTATTCTTGTTTCAGAAATAAGAGAAGCTTATGAAAAATATAAAATGGCTACTTGTTGATAACAAACAGTATTTTAATATTTACACTTTATCTCTCAATGAATTTTCTATTGTATAATCTCTGCCATCAAAACATCGATTGCTTCCCTTTTGACATTTATGCAATATGACTGAAGTTTATCTTAGTTGATGGGGTTGAGTGTTAACTGACGTCTTTACACTAAATCCATTGGATGTCGGATGTGTACTGATTGACATTTAAGTCTTAAATACACGATTTTGTTATTAGTTGTTATTGGCTTTGAACTATTTGTCAGTAACTGCGAGTACTCTCTTGTGTCTTTTTTGTTGTGTGTGATGTACAAATTCCCTGCCACGTTCGGTCTGTGTTTTTGTTACTTGTTTTTCTGCTTTGTATCGACCTGATGAGTTTAGCACTTTTCAACTGATTTTATAGTTTGTTCGTGTGGTGTACTATTGCAACACTGTCCCAGGTTAGGCGGAGGGTTTGGCGCCAGCAAAAATGTTTAACCCCGCCACATTCTTTATGTGCTTGTCACAAGTCAGGAGCCTGTAGTTCAGTGGTTGACGTTGGTTCATGTATGTCATACCGGGGTATTTTTTTTTCGTAAATTATTTTGTTATGAATTAGACCTTTTGTTTTCTCAATTGAATTTATATTTTTCGTGTCGGGGCCTTTTATAGCCAACTATACGGTATGGGTTTTTCTCATCTTGAAGGCCGTACGGTTGCCTATAATTGCTTACATCCACTTCATGTGAACTTTGGTGGATAGTTCTAACCACATCTCCTTATTTTTATTTTGATGCGGCTTTTGATTCATCGACTGATTATCTGGCTGAATAACTCCATCTTTTAAAATTGGTGCAACCCGAATATTTTTCTTGCAAATCAGCAGATGTGAAATTTCTGCAACAACACAACTAAGAAACGGTAGAAAAAATATAAAATCACCTTTAAACAATCATATGGTAATGGAGTACCTTTAAGAGTGCGATGTCTAATCAGTATTCAGGTCCTTTCCATATCTTGAACTTTCATCGTAACGATGTTGAGAATGCAAAAAATTCGCTAGTCGGTGATATGAGTGCATGACTGCAGGTGATCACAAGGCGATAAAGATACTCAACCATTCTATCGTGTATGGGTTAGAATCACTGATTTATTTATGTATTTTATAGATGGACAAGCAAATGATCTTTATCAATATAGATAAAGGAAGTGTGTCGTGCGTATTTCCATGCAGGCTTCACGTTCTTTTTGCTTGGCATTACGATTTGGGAGGGAGGCATTTACAAGCAACAATTATAATTAGATACATACGCAATATAAGCAACAAACATGATACAGTATATAATATTTTTTAAATTAATATAATGTGACAGATATTGTTATAGATATAAAAAATCAGATGCAGAATAAGTGCAATTGGATGCAGCTCTGGGTCAACACAGCATTGTTGAAGATGTATACCGTTATAAATAAGTTAAACTTAACTTATTTAGAATAAAAAAATATAAAGTGAAATGTTAGATTCGGTTGATCAAATGGCCAACATGGATCCTATTTTATTTAAACATATTTAATTTAATTGTTATTACATATAACAAAAAGGATCAGACACAAGTTATTACAACTGAGATAGTCCTCTCCTAAATATAATAAGTTATTATATATAAATATAAAGACATGCAACAACAACATTAGATAATTATTGATTTGTACAAAAGTTATAGAAAAAAAGAAAGTTCACAATTTCCCCCCAAAAAATAAACAACAGTCCCACGCCAAAAAGCTTATTCATCGACATACTAAACTATATCAGTTAAAAAAAAAGAAAAATATCTTTCTAAAGGTCAAACCGTTCACTTTGCCGAATAAAATGCAAGACTTCTTTAATTAAGATGTATTTTGACTAAGAGTTAAATTTTCGTTTCCATTTAGTAAAGTACCAAGATCTAAAGACGGGACAAAAAGTAGTTTGTCTTAAAGGTGAGTTCTAATTTGTGCATAAAGCGGACTTTCGAAGAAAAAATGAAATCTGGGATCCTATTTAGAATGTTGGAGAGGAGATGTACTTGTTTTGTTGTTGCCGAAGTTGGAGAACAGGGGTCCTATTCAAAATATTGGCGACTTGGCTAACAGGTAAGAGTGTTGGCGAACATTTCCCCAATCCTGTACCAGCCTGACTAATTGATGTTATAGAGAGAATCATGTTAGCTGTCACAATGGAGAGTTAGAACAAAAGATTGTTCAAATGGGTATTCTACATCATAGTAAATCTTTTTGGAGATACTAGTACTCATATTAATATTTTAAAAGCATATTAAACAGAAAATATCTGCATGTAAACGATAACCATTGAATTAACAAGGCAATTTTCTTGAGAATTCGTACAGATATTAAGTTCCTATGCATTTGTTCATCGGCTTCTTATTTCCATCTTAGATCTTATATTGAAATAAGTAGTCAATAAGATATTAATTACCATATTCCGTTCTGTTCGTAATGAGTTCTCTTATCATTGTGCATGTATATTCTATTTCTAGACAGTAAGTTTAATCCATAAAAATTAAATCATCTTTAAATGAAATTATTATTATTTTTAAGTCGATAAATGCAAATGAAGTCCTATATAGGAGATTGTTTTTAATCAAGCAAAAGGTCTTACCCGTAAAAAGTATTTCCCTTTTCTAAATGGTACATTGTTACAGGCTAGTGATATTCACTTATCGTTATGGTAATGTTTAAGCAATGTATCCAATGCCATTTTTTGCATTTATTTAGTAAAATGTCTTCATTTATTTGTGGTCACGAAATATCTGACCTGGCAAAATTTTTATGTTATATTCATTGAAACATGAAACGTCTCTACAGACACGGGCATAGCGAACGAGTTGGGGAAATAAAAATACCGTCAGAAAGAGCAAAAGGACCACAATCGTCAAAAGAGGAAAATAAACAATAGAAGACGAAATCGTCTCTTTTGTCATAACTTTTAGTATAATAGAGTATCCCATGTGAAACTAGAGTATCCAAAACAATAATTTGACAATTGTTCCTGTCACTGTTAGACATGTTGCAAGTAATTTCCTCGGCACTAATGTCTGCAGTATAATTAGAACACCCTTCATCAGTTAAAGCAATGGTATTATTTACTTTAAGATTTGAAAAACAACATTGAAGCCTTTATACTTTATTTCATCGTTAAATTATTTTACATTTAATAAACATTAAATTTATAAATATACAACTTTTAAAGTTTTATTCAAGCCGGTGCGGTTTAAATTCACATGTGTTAACTTGAGAACTACTCAGATTATATTCAGTTGGTCATTTCATGTTCGACAGTGGATAAAGAGTAAGTTGGTCAAGTAAGAGAGAACAAATGGATGATTTATGATGCCATCTGCAGGTCCCCAGCTTTACATTTGAGGAATTATAGAAACTGAATACTGTCTACAGTCAGGTATTACTTTCAGATTTTTTAAGAATATCTCTTTATTTACAATTTCAGAGCCTGTCAAACACATGTCTCCTTTCGGTAGCATTTCTTTGTCCATAAATTCCTAAAGATCAAACATTTTACCAACTTATGTATGTTTAATTTGTTCTCGACCTTGTCATGTATGTATATATTTGCCACTTGACGTTAAGCAAACAAGACGTAATCAAATCTAAAAAATAGAGCATTTATTCAGAGAAAAATAAAACCATATATATGTTATGTTATCTAACAATTTGAAGTTTGAAAAGTGACTGAAACATGTGAAGGAACTTTATGATATAGAAATTAAATGTATCTAAACACATTGCAGAAAGGAAAAGTAACGATCTTTTATGACGTTATCCTTGTTCTACGGTAACTTAATGGAAATTTTTGTAAGAATAAATAGATCTGTTAGTTGTGTTTATACTGGTAGAATTTTGAAAACGCTTCATTCTATTTATTTTGTTTGGTAATAGAATTTTAAAGAATATAAAAAAAAGTCAATTATATATATAATTAAACCGACGCAAAATATTGCTTAGAGTTATTTTATGAAATATCAATATTTTTAATCAATATAAAGAAAAAATGTTGCAGCTTGCAATTGTGATTTATTAAAGATTCTGGAAAGACTTCCCATTAAACACCGTCTGTAGATGCAAATACATACATAAAGGGGGTCCAAAAGAAAGTCTTGTCGAAATTCTATTATGAGTAGGCCATATTTCAGAAAATTACATAGTATAGAGTTGCAATACCAAGTGATAAACCTTCAATATGCGAGTATTATCAACTTTTATAACAGTTGGTGTTTTTTTTCTCTCTTGGATACACTAAAAGCCACTCTAAACGTGTCACTTTATTTTGTTTTCTATTCCTTATATTCTATGTCATTTGTGAAAAAGTCTGCGTACTGCATTTTATCTGTAAACGAGGTATTTATGACTTAGCTCAACGATAAATTGTTTTAATGTGATACTCTATTAAGAATTTTAATGAATTTGAAATGGACGATCGAACGTGATTCAAATTAGATCATCTCCCATTTACGAGAAAAAAAATAACTCTTGAAAATGATATATATGTCAAATTGCTTGATACATTATTTGCTATCGAACAAAAGTCATTTCCCCACGGTTATTGATTGTTGATTACTTAACGTCCAGTAGCAAATTTTTAAGGCTTATACGGGAATAAAATAGTTGACAATATATTTATATTTATACGATCTTAAACTGCGCACGACTTCAAGAAAAGGACGATTTTAACTACAACCGAAAAATGTCGGCGTTTAGCTGCCGTAAAACAGGAAACCTCCAGATCCACTCAAAGAGTTATTGACCGCCTTGTTTATTGTACAGGAAGCATTTCATTATCCCTCGGATCTAACATCTCAAGCAATTCTGAGATTACTAGTTATAGTTATAGTAATCTCAGACCAATTCTATAAATTGGAAATTTAAAAATATTTGTTTTAGCATTTCGAGATTTCAAATTCACAAAGTTGGATGCTTTCTGTTTCATGAACAAACAAAAATATGCTCTTTGGCAATAATCAGACGAATAAAGTAGTCATATTTCTAATTGCAGCTACAGTTGGGTTCATTCTTTCCTTTTCAATGTTTAGTTTACCATCAAAATGTTTAGTTTAAATACATAAATCAGTTGTGTTTTTTTTTCTTCATTCGCTTTGTCGTATGTATTTGATGGTATGAGATGATTTATTTTGAATATGCGCAGTGTTGTCCGCTTAAATTTTACCATTTACGTCTTGGACGATCGGTATTTAGACTTCGATTTTTATATTCGTTACTGAGCAAAACATTTCTGTGCCGCATTTTCATTTTCAGATAGAAGTGGAAGATAACAAGGGGATTTCAAAAAAAATAAATCGGAAAGAAACTAAGCCATGACCAAAAACGAAAAGACATCAGTTTACAAAACATTACATGGAAAACTTAAAGACTGAGCAACATACACCCGTCTCAGGCATTCGGATAGATAAGCAAATCCTGCTCCACATATGGCACGCGTCATATTGCCATGGTTCAAATTCAAAACTGATGCTGTTCGGTAGATAAAATTATTTAACAGAAATGATTTTGATGTTAAAGATTTGACCTGAAATCTGCGTTGCTTTTTTAGTTTCAGTGAAGGGTTTTTCATCCTGCTGGCTGGTATGTTGAAAACAAATTGTCGTTACTTAAAACAAATAAACAGAAAACTAAGCTAAAAGACATGGTCTTAGACATATACATTCTTTTAGTTGTTTTAATACTTAGTCTATGATCTCATTCAAACAAGGTTACATAAAACAGGCAAAACTATATTATTTTTATTCACGACTTTTCTGATTTAGATATACTTAACGTGAAGCATTATATGCTAAATATAACCAGTAAATTAAATTACATTAATCTGTCAAAATTGATTTTCGCTAAAGATTTTCAAAAGATACAAAAAAAAAAAAAATACAAAATATTTCAAAAATAATTCTAGGTCAAAAGATTAATTTCTAAAGTTCACTAGCCATTTACAATAAAAATGGATTCTACATATAGGTTTTTTTTTCAAATACATATTTTGAACAACACAATACTGTAATACAATCTATAATTAGAATTATTTCTCACGAAGGTAAGGTAAATATTTACAACTTCCTTGGTTACGGGCGTAGTGTGAACATATATTTATTACGTGTGTACAAAATTAGTGTCACGAACAAATGCATGATACATATATGTAAAAAAGTAAAATATTTGTGTTTATTAAAACCTACCTTTAAATGCGAATACGTGACTCGTGATCAAACTTAATCATCAGTGACTGAGATAAAAAAATAAAGAGCCAATATCTATACACTTTAAAATTTGGGGTGCGTCTTTAGACTCGTGTCAACCGTTATTTTTTTCGCCTAACAGAAGTTGCTCTGGAAACTTTGTTATAACAAAGTTATAATATCTGTTCCTGTTGGAAGAAGGCATACTTTCATAAGTTACTGGTATCACATATGTGGCAGGATCTAGTATAGGGTTCTCAGCTTGATTTCAGTAAATACACGAGTTGTCTCTTAACCCAGATATTAAACTAACGCATAGTTTATAGTTATTAATAGATCGCGTGGAGTTAATAAACTCACCATAGATACCAGGACTAAAATTTTGAACGCTAGACGCGCGTTTCGTCTTCAAAAGACTCATCAGTGACGCTCGAATCAAAACGTAAAAAAAAAAAAAAAAAGACCAAATGAAGTTGAAGAGCATTTTGGACACAAAATTCCTAATACAGTTAGGTAATCTATTCCTGGGGTAGAAAATCCTTATTTCAAAATATTCAAAGTTTTCTAAACATTATTATGGCCATATCAATGATAACTCATGTCAACACTGAAGTACTGACTACTGGCATAACAGATAGACTCAATGTTTCTTAACGGATGGCATATTTGTATAAATACTTCACTAGGAAAATTTGATAAAAATTGTACTAGACTGAGTTTTTCCTTATGATTAAACATTCATGAGTTACAGATTTGTGTTTTGTGCAAAAATATATCAATTGAAAGAGTGCTTTAAACCCAAACCTTTAAATATATATTGGATTTTCAGAAAAGAAAATCATTATCTTGACGAGGAAGTCATCATGGTCATGTGCTATTCCATTCAATCTATTGTAATCAAATTTAATGCGTCATTGATAAGCAAAATAAACATTATACTTTAATAAAATGTAATAAATGCGCTTTTAGAATCAAGAAAGTGTCCGTGACCTTAATAAATGATAAACAGGACTTGAACTACGCTCTATACTTCTTATCCATTTCAACACATGAAGTAAAAAATCGTGAATACAACTGGACACTAAATCAATGTATATATGGACTTATGAAAATAACCACTTGGAGCTGCAAAAAAAAGTCAAATTAATTATCAAAATGTCTGGCAAAATAGAATGTGTAATTCATAGAAAAGATCAGCAGAAACATCAGTATTAAGATAACGTTAATTTAAACATTTTGATAACGAGAAATTTAAGCATAAATATACGAACAATCTAATCACAAAAAAATTGTGAGTATGCTTTCTCGTAATAATAAAAAGAAAAACTATCTTAAATCCACGCTTCGGCATGGGAAACCAAAAAAAAAAAAAATAAAAAAAAAAATGAGTAGGCGTATAACTTCATATCCTGCAGGAAAATCTCACTTACATGTGTACAGTTTCAAGATACATTGGTTTGTGATACGTGTACTTTATTGATACTGTGATAGTCCAAAAGGCTAACAATACATCTTACTCACAAATCAATCATTATCCAAATTTTTAATTCTCCTTTATTTTGTCATAATTAATGTTTAGCCTAGTGTCGTGATTCTGTTGTCCAAAAGGTGACTGGGGAATAGAAATATGGCCACTTAGGTCTTCTTCCGACCGACAATGAAACCCTTGCCAATGTGGGGCGTCCGTTTAGCTGTGTTGGATGTACAAGTACGCAGTCACGTCCGGTCAGAATGGCGACGTTCAATGCGATGTCTCGTGTAGACTTAACGTTAAGAACCATTGCAACAATTTTTGTGGGGTCGTATGTGGCCTGTTGCAAGGCAAAATATCTGTCCCTATCCAATATGCCCTCATTTTAGAGTGGCAGTCCAAATTTCTCCGACTCTCATCATGGACGATCTCTTTACCTATTGTATTATTGTTAATTTGTTCTCGTCCTGAACATGCATGAAATAGTTGCCACTGCGATAATCAAACAACATTCAACAATCAATCATGCTTCTGTTTGTGTCTGCTTTTTCTTATGAAATGGCCGTTAGTGTCAATGATCAAAATATTATTTGTTTGATCGATGTTTACTCATACATATTTAAACTTATAGGTAATAAACTCTTTGTCCACGGTATTCAAGCGTTTAAGGTATCTGATAACTGATGTCAGGTATTGCTATTGGATTTTATAAATAGATGGTATTTACATAAGTTCACACAAGTTATTACATTTTGCAATACGTATTTACAGGAATCGATTTCGAAAATACCGGAAAGCGTTTGCAAAGTAAGGAAGGTGAGTTCTGTTTTATCTTTGATTTTATTTGATCTAAGTCTATATTGACACAGGTATGTTTTTAGAATTCACATTTCATAAATTATCATTCTATTAGCCGTTTATGCGAGTTTGGTCTGACACAGGTATGTTTTAAAATTCCATATTTCATAAATTATCATCATATTAGCTGTTTATGCGAGTTTTGTCATTCTAATAGAAATTAATGCGAGTTTGACCAGCATGATTTAATTGTTTGTCGAATAAACAAATTAATTCTTTTATCATTTAAAGATAAAGAAAATAAAACTTTTATTTAGAACGAATCATATGATTAGATTTTGTTTATTTTTTCTTGTTTATATAATTAAGCATTTATTTCATGTCCACATATTTTCAGTCCGGTTTCGAATCACATGCCACAATTATTCAGATTGTATTTTTAAGAAGTTGAATAAATTCTTGAATGTAAATGACCTACATATTTCTGTCATGGATATATGCGTTCTATTTATCCCCCTAGATGTTAATGACATAAAGATGCTGATTCTGTTCTATTTATTCACCTTAGCCATAAGAGATCAATATATGTCCTACTGTTAAATTAATATTTCATATCTCTGTTCGATCAGGTGTATTTGTGTTGAGTCTCATCATTTACTCAATACGCTGCCATGTTGTCTTGAAATGTTTTGGCATATATCTGTTATTCTAGACAGAACAGTAACAGGCATGTGTCATTTCGAAACCGGATATATACATGCATATTGTATAGTAAATAAATCTGTAATTGTTTCATCAAACGATACTCCATTAGGCATGTTTGGCTATTCCAGATTTACTTCCTCCTTTGTTGTATATTTTAAAAAACCTCCTACTGTAATTAAACATCGTTGGTTTTCAAAACTTTTGGCTCTTAAAATATCTGAAAAAACTTGGTCCAGGAAAACGCTTCGAATTAATTCAATAGAAAGACAAATGTTATGGGGTATCGATCCATGACACAAAACCAGTACATGCACAGAAAAAAAATCAAAGGAACAGTGCTTGTATTGCTGTTCTTCATCTCAAAGCCACAGTGTTGCCTTCAACACGGAACAAAAAAAAACTCTCACTTCGCTGCAAGTTTAAGACACCCACTAGCACCGGTTTGAGCGGAATTCTTTGCAAAATAATTCGGATAGGCTTTGTAAGATGTAACACCACCAAATTGGGCCCGGTGAAAAAGAACATACTGGGAAGTTTATCAACCTCATAATTTTTTTAGTAAATTTTATTGTGTTCTAGTATTTTAACTTAAAAAAAAAAACAACTGCAAAAGCAGATAATATGTTAGTATAAAAAACATGCAAAAATTAGATATCTTTCGCCAAGAGCAAATATTTAAAAATTGGAGATGGATAAAAGAAAGTCGCATAATAAAACAATTGTTGACTTTTGATATCAGTTAATACAATGATTTATCAACCCCAGAGATCTGATATTCACTCTCGGCCGTTGGCCTCGGTGAATATCATATTTCTAGGGTTGATAAATCATTTCAATATTCCACTGTTAATACATATTGATAGTTTAATCAATATTTGATTGGTTGAGACTATCCCACGTTTCATTGAACAACTCTTCATATTCCCTTCTGATGATCATATTCCCCTCTGAAATGTCGGGATTACATCGTGCGACGTTACGTGCGGTTAATGTACATAACGTTTTGAACTTCTTATTCTTCTTAAAATAGTGATAGCAAAAATCATTATCATGTTCAAATTTATTACAGACGATAAAACAAAAAGACTAACAATGAACTTTTGTTCCGTACTGTTTATCAATGTGTATGTCATGTTTAGTTTAACTTATAAAAACAAACGGATAAGAAAAAAAAATGTATGCCAAATAATAATTAATGTATTGATAGTAAACAAAGCATAGGCAGTGGAATAAAACATTCATTTCCCTTTGCCTCGGGAGATATGAAGATTTGCGTACCCTCGAAAAATCATATTTCCCTTGGGCAGAGCACTCGTGAAATATGAATATTCTTGGGTGAACAAATCTTCATATCTCCCTCAGGCATGGGAAATAAATTAGTATCAAAATATGGAATGACTCATTTCTTAGTATTAGCTTTAGAGTTTTTATTTACACATTCTATAATCAATATTTTACTGTCATATTTAATTCATGTGTATTTTATACTTTTTTCCCAGCCAATATTTGATTCATCATGTGTAACCCAAAGTGCAGCAAAGTTGCCTTGATTGTTATCAATATTATATTCATTGTAAGTATATGTAGTGTATAGGTTTAAATTATAGTATAATTAGATAAGAAAACCAAAAAATATAAACTTTTATTGAATTGGTTATTTAAATAAGCAATTTGGTATTAGACTGACTTTTATATGTGTCGATTTATGCTTGTGTTACATGATAAATAGATAAACTACAATGGCTTGGTTAAATTCGAACTAAATGAAATTCAAAACAAGACAACAGAAAAGACATTACAATGATGTACCGCTCATAAAAATAACAGAAAACCGACAACTATGTATACAGGAGAGCCTAAATTAGTTCACATACTGAAAACGTGATTGTATAAAAAAAAAAAAAGGAAAATGAACAGCAATTTTTCTGTTGTCTTGTTTTGAATTTCATTCTATATTTCCTATACATCCATATAAATTGTGCACATCACTCACGTTTTCCAAAAGCATAGAAAATAATGTGTTTAAAATTGAATCTTGCCATTTGCTTATTAAAATGTAGTGATGTCCGTTTTTACAGTTGCTTGGGCTTGGTTTGCTTATCCCAGGAATCTTAGTGATCATAAATGATGATGGCATCAACGAGAAAGTATTACCAGCATTACAGACTGTCGATTTTGGAGTATCGAATTTTGGTGACCTTGCCAAAGGACTCTCTATTACACTTATTGTAATGGGCTCTTTTGTTTTAGTTCTGTCGTTGTTAGGTGGATGTGGCGCGTGCTGTGAAGCAAAATTACTTTTGACGATAGTAAGTATTGAATGTCAGCTATTTTCTTCACTTTTGTATAAAATTGTTATATGTTCACTACACACATTTTGATTACGAAACTGTTCATTACACATATTTTGATTACGAAACTGTTCACTACACATATTTTGATTACGAAACTAAGTGGCTAAAATTTGTTAAAATATTTTAGATTATTGTGGATGCTCAAATAAATTGCCGAATCAAATTAACTGTTCGTCCATCTGGAATTCAAAATACGTAAAAACAAAATCTAAAAGATCATTTTTCAATCAATATTATAAAGTTTGTTCCTCCCGAAAAGAAGTTTTCTAAGCGTTTAATTCACACATGCATTAACATTTTTTATATTGCTTATATGTTTATGTTCTCTGTAATATTTTTTGTTTATGAGGATAAAGTATTCAGTTAAATTAATATAGTCTTTTTAGCATCCCATAGTAAGGCACCAAGTTCATCATCCAGACTGTATAGATTAAAAAGTATAATAAAGACTGTAAATCTATTATAAATCTATAGAGACATTTTATGTGTAGATTTTATGACTGTTATTTTCGTTGTAGTATTCAATTGTAGTTGTCATTCTGTTCCTGGGAAAGCTGGTAATTGTAGTATTGTGGATTGTATTCAAAGCAGACGTAAGTACCATATTTCGGGGATAAATCATTCATAACATAGTGTACCTTCCTTATAACATTTTTTTTTTAAATCGGCGTATGGTTTCGCTTCGGCCGAAATTTATTTATGAATTCAAAATGGTAGGATCATTGGTCCATTTTCAAACTAAAAAAAACTTAAAGCAGCTTTGGAGCACTTTAGCATCGGGAGAATTAAAGAAGTCTCAAGATTTATTTGGCTGTCTGGAATATCAAGGCAAATTTTGGTTCCAACAAAAAGACATTCGAAAGGTGTCAACAGAAATTTTCTGAAAACTACAAATAATAATAATATAAGCCAGTAAGAATGTCTGACACACTATATTGAAATTTCGATATGCCCGGAATAATTTAGAATGTACCAAAAATTTAGATATTTTTTCTTCTGAAATTTATCAATTATCATTATCAAGTAATATGATGCAAATAATATAGCACATACATTCCACCAGCAACCAACAATGGTCACTGGGAAATTGAAATAGGGTCTATTGGTCTTCTTCCGACCGGCAGTAAACCCCTTGTCAAAGTAGGTCGTACAATTGGCTGTGCAGGATGTACCAGTACGCAGCCACGTTCGGTCAGAATGGTAACGAGCCGATGCCTCGTGTAAAGAGAGTCACGCTCTCTACACGTTAAGAACCCTTGCGACAACTCTTTTGATTGGTCCTTAGGCAAGGCAAAATGTCTGTCCTTATCCAATATTCCTCATTTTTCAGTGGCAGTCAAAATTTACACGGTTTTCATACCGGAATAACTCTAGTACTACCTATTGTATTGGTTGTTAATTTGTTTGCGTCCTGACCATGCATGCAATATTTGCAACTGGACGTTTAGCAACCAACAATCAATCAACCAATCCATCAGGAGTGACATAAATCTAGTGGTTTTAATACAAAAATTTAATTTGCTGAACCATATGCGCTTCTTGATATTTATTTCTGATCGAACCCATATTGTGCAATTCAGAAAGTATCAAAAGTTGAGCAGCAACAAAAACATCACAAATAAAAACCGAAACAAGCAAAGGAACATCTGTACATCGGGCGCCCTACCTTAGAATTCAGCCAGCACATTTTAAATCCAGTAGTTAACTAAAATCCACAAGTATCAATAATAAAGCAATAGTAGTCACGCAAAGCGCAGAGCGTTTGCGCTTTTTCAAATAGACATTTGTGCTTTAGTAGAATTTACATTTCCACTTTTCGTATAAGAAGTGTTTGCCTTTTATTTTATTATTTCCCTTCTTATACGGGCTGAGCGACAGGTGCTTGGTTGTGATCAATTTGTCCTAAAACGGTATTCGTTCCATTGTCAATTTTTTCTCGAGTTTTCATTTCTTGTCTCGCACCTCCAAGATAAATCCTCACTTTTCAGTGTCTCATCAATTTGGTTTTAAAAAATCCATCATATACAGTGTTCCCTTTACTTGTTTCTCGACATTTACAATCCATTTATCAATCAGTGGTTGATAATGTGTTGTAAAATAACTAACTTTGGGTTTAATAGACTCGGTATGGGTTTTTCTCATTGTTGAAGGCCTTACGGTGACATATAGTTGATAACATCTAGTACGTCATGTTGGTCTTGTTGGATAGTTGTCTCATGACAATCATATTTACATCGCCGTTTGTCATATTTACATCGCCGTATCAGTCGTTTCAACTCACTAAAAATTATATATGTCAGTTTGCAATCAGTACAACCAAATGTTACATTTTACAGTTTAAAGTGTACGGATAAAAAGCGCAAACGTGTTTTCGATTTCATAAAGTGGTCAAAACGTCAAATCCAAAATTTACGTCATATTTGACGCACAAAAAAAGCGCAAAGTTCTTACAATCGTCCTTCAAGTTTATATGCACACGACACCTGACATGTGATTTTCAATCCATTATGCTTTATTTGTGTCGAAAAATAGTTTGCTAGGTAAGACATTTTAGTATGACTGCTTTTGTTACGTGCTTAAACCCGATTCTTTAGAAATGTCAATTTCTTAGAATTCTAACTAAATGTCTTGTGGTTATAATATTACCGTCTTTTTACAGGTAGAATCGAAGTTGAAAGCTGAAATGAAAACAGGACTTCTGAAATTTACGAACGATGATCTTACTACTCACGAAGTCTCAACTGGATGGAATTACCTGAATATGAACGTAAGCACATGTTATCCATATGTGTTAGCAAAATTCTGTTATTTGTTAATCTGTTAGTTTTTCAACATCATAAAACATGCAGGTATACCTGCAAATTTTTCCACAAAAAGTTTGAATGTAGTCATTTTTTCGAAAAACAAAACAAGGAAATGAATCAAAATAATCAAAGAAGATGAAACACAGCGAACTTGGAATTTTGATATTAGTACATCTTGTTCTTTAAATAGAAAATTGGGAACAAAATGGTTTCAATTATTTTGTGAAATGAATATACATGTATGAAATTTCGTTTATTCTCAATTATTTGACATATTTTGATTTTTGTAAGAATACAGCAAACTTATTTTACCCAGAGGGTGTTAAATGTTCGTTTATACTGACGTCAAACTCATTATTTCGAAATTGATGAAATGCAGCAATATACATTGTCTAGGTATATCTAATTTCAGTATTTCAAAGTTGATAAAAAGGCAAACCTTGTTGTTTAGGTGGTTCATTTAGACGTCACTTACCTTGAATTTTGAAAGGTGAAAGAAATAGATTTTTTCTATTTTTCAACTCAATTGACATTTTTTAACATAGGGATTGAGATAGTGGATGGTTTTATGTTATATTACAGTTTAAGTGTTGTGGTATTGATGCTGTCACTGGTACAGGAGCTGGTAATGATTACACGAACTCTGCATGGTATACAGGAAGTGGAACTGACGAGCTTCCCAAATCATGTTGTCCATCAGCGACATCGTCTTCATACACCAGTACATGTTCATTTACTAAGAGTGCAAACCCAACTGGACAACATTCACAGGTACATAAGTGTAGTTTTATATAGAGAATTAACTTAGTTGACATCCATTACTTTCTGTTTATAAGTTTCTTACTTAATCGAACCGAAATTTATGGTAAATAGTCACAATTAAATTGTGCAGTTTGGTTTATACCACCAATTTACAGCTCGGTCGAGATCACCTTACTATTTTATAAATGATTGTTGTGAATATCGAACCTACTGAAGTATTTCATTCAAAGCCAGATGATTACTAAAATATGCAATCGTCAAGGATCCAAATAACGTTTACGGGTATCAATGGGAACGTATATTTAGGTTGTAAAATATTCGTATGCACAGAAAAGTGATTTTTTTAATCAATTTTGATAAATACAAAAAATAAGGAAACGTGGTACGTTGTGAACAGTGAAGTATTTGTTTTGTTGAATGCAATTTATTGCATTTGGAAGAACAGTAAATTTAACAATTCTATTACCGAAATTAGAGACGGGATTTTATTTTTACTACGAAAATGAAATGAATTATTATAATACATATTCTTATATCTTTAACATACATATTCGTCAACATTAAGAACATATTTTCGTACTGTTTACATTAACTGTCAATTCTCACTTTTTCAGTATCTGTTTTTTTTTTCTGTTTTTGCAAGACAATGACCACTTTTTTGTGTTCGAATCAATATGTTTGATTAAAAATAAATGTCGCATTGAAATCAAGATTATCAACCGAATTATATTGGAAGACTCTTCTTGTGGTGTTGTGTGGTTTCGTTTTCAAACGTTATGCAATTGATACAGGTCCAAGTGTGAAGACATTTGAAATAAATTGCAAGCAACAGTTTTTGCTTCTGTGAGAATAAGAAGTAAATTATCTATTATACAAGCACTGGTTGCATTTACTTTTCATATGAATGTCAATATTTTATTTGAACAGGGCTGTTACGATGCTTTGAAGGAGTTTGCAGATAAATATTCAATTGCATTTATATGTGTTGGCGTCTTCATTTTGTTAGTTGAGGTAGGTATATTAATGCTATTAGTGTTGTTATGTTATTGAAAAATTCTTTTTAAGCATTCATAACGTACTGCTCTTTTGTAAGTTTTAAGAAAGCAAGTACGCAGATGTCTTATGTTACGAAGTTTCCGTCTGGTATGTGTCCATTGCCATTGACCTCATTTTCGTGGTTGAGCGACTATATATACTTGAAAAAAAGTAAAGTTGTTTTGTCATGTAAAATACTCGCTTATGAGTGAAAGGATAACAATACTTGGTATATGGAATCCTTGCAAGGTCTACATGTCCAGCAGACAGGGTTCACCTGACCTCGACCTCATTCCATGGATCAGTGATCAAGGTTAAAGTTTCCCGATAACGTCCGATTCCCAGATACTGTAAGCAGTAGGTAAACTTTGTGTAGTTTATGGAATGATGTAAGATGTACATGTCAGCCAGGTAGGTTTCATTTGACCTTGAACTCATTTTCATGGTTCATTGGTCAATTTTAAGTTTTTGTTTTTTGGTCTGTTTTTCAAATAATATAAGCAATAAGTCAACTATGTTTTAGTGTATTGAATGATTGTAAGGTGTACATGTCTGTCTGGCAGATATCATCTGTCCTTGACCTCATTTTCATAGTTCAGTGGTCAATGTTAAGTTTACATAATGTTGCTCTCTTCTCGGATACTATAGGCAACTGTACAACTATATTTGGAGTATTGAATGATTGTAAGGTGTACATGTCTGTCGGGCATGTGTCCTCATTTTCATGGTGCATTGGTCAATGCTTGATTTGCATAGTTTGGTCTTTTCATTGGATACTTTAAGCAATAGCTCAACTATATTTGGTGTATGGATTGATTGTACGATGAACATGTCTGTCTAGCAGGGTTTATCTGAACTTGACCTTATTGTAATAAATTATTGACAATGTTAAGTTAATTTGATACTTGTATTAACACCTTTATCGTTAAAACTTTCAACTTTAAATCAATCATGTTCAGTAAAGCAGGCGAGACATTTCAGCGTGTGTACTCTTGTGTATAAAACGGAGAAAAAAATCTGCACTCAGTTCCTAATAATAAGAAACACTTGTCGATGTTTTTGTACATTTTTATTCTAATTTTATCCACACTCGCGCACTTTCTGTATCATGTATAAAAAAAATCGTAATATTGAATCCTTCAAAGATATTTGTATTATACATTGACATATTTCAATTTTAGGTGGCAGCAGTGATTTTTGCGTGCTCGTTGTGCAAAAACATAGGCAAAGACCACGTTGTATAAAACCTTTCTCTGCCATAAACAGTATGTATTTTTATCATTTGATATTATATAAATACGCATATACGTTAAGGACATACGATACAGTTTTGAAGGGAGAGTGGTGAACTTCCATACATTAGAAATCCTTTCTACTTACTCTATGAGTCGTGAATATGTCGCCTGTTGCAAAGACAAATAGTATCGGGTCTTTTCTAATTTCACCACTTTTTTTTGTTTTATCATCAGTCCAATAAGGTATGACGTTTTCGGACAATAGTCGACAACCAAACCATCTACTGCTTAATACTGAAATGAACCAGTTTTTGGAGTTTTCATGTTCTTTTATGTTTTATGTTACTAGTATTTTTATGGGGAAGAAAGTTATAAAGTTGGATACAAATTTAAGAAATCTAAAACAATTTTGTGTGCACAATCCATGTACTCTAAAATGCATTTTCACTAGTTTTACAGTTATAAACCATACAAACTATAAAAGTCGAGTGTAGAGAGATAAAAAATGCGGACAGCACAAAGAATTACCAGCATTAAAAGCCACAAATCGCTACACAGTCACTTGAGGAATAATATTTCGAGTATATTAAGGACCTTTTGAAAACAGTTTTTATAAGGTCTCTGGTGGAGAGTTGTCTCATTTGCAATTATACCACATCTTTATTTATATTTATATTTTCAATATCAGCTAGTATTGCTTGCATTGTGTTGTACAAGGCACTAATTTTGTTTTATTTTTTACTTTTCAGGTTTCAAGACAACTGTTAGCGTGTGTTTGAAGATTTAGTCTTACAAAACTTTCAGAAAACAATATTTAGTGATATATTTAATATTACATTCGTACATATATATTTTTTCATTGCTGCAAACAGATGTAACTCAATGATTGACATTTCAGAAAACAATTTATTACAGTTTGAGGTTAAGCAATAGTGTTTAAATATTCCGTACAGTAGAATTATTGACCAACCAGTTTAACGTGTTTATGAAACACTTCTTAATCTAAAGAAGTGATGAAAAACATCATAGATCAAACAGTTTATAATAAATTATTAATTTTCGACAATATTCAGAAAGTAGATTATATATTAAGAAATTATGAGGATCGTGAAAGTTTAAATCCTTGGTGTGTTATGAATGGTTTATCTCTTTGGTAATATATTTCATGATCGATAGTTATTTTTGCGTTTATTATCAACATAACCAAACAAATGGTTTGAAATGTACATATTGATGGCTGATTATCGTTTTCGTTTGTAAATAGACTGAGCATAGTGCAAGTTAAGCGTTGAAATATAAGCGGATTCATTGATTTATTCATGAAAATGATTGCTTTGTCTCGCTTCGAAGAAGTCGAGAAGGCGAGACTTAGAAGTGATGTGTCCGGCGTCGTCTGTGTGTCAACAATTTATTAAAAGTTTGTGATAAGGTAATTTTAAGGGTAACTATTAATGATAAGTCAATGATATTTGGTATGCAGTTGTATAAGCATTAGCATGTCACATTTCAATGAAGATTATTTGTCTCAGCCACTGCCATGGCCTATAATTGACTTCGAAACTTTTGCATAGTTAACGGGTTAAATTTTGTGATCAGGTGAGTTTAATGGGAACCACTGAAGACAAGGCAATGATTTTTTGTGGAGCCTGCGTCTTTTGTCGCAAAAGCGAGACACAGCGATCCTACATTCCGTCCACAAATATTCACTCTGTAAAAGTTTTTGAAATTTTAATACCTTTCTTAAACTATCCTGCATTTCTACCAAACTTGGATAGAAGCTTGTTTATGATCATAAGATAGTATCCAGAAGTAAATTTTGTAAAAAAAAAAATCCTGTTTATCCGTATTTTACTTATAAATGGACTTAGTTTTTTCTGCCAGTTAACATTACATTCACTTTGTAGTTAAAAGTTTTAAAAATTTTAATAACTTTCTTAAACTATCCTGGATGTGTACCAAACTTTGACAGAAGCTTGTTTGTGATCAAACGCTAGTATCTAGAAGGAAATTTTGTAAAAAAATATTTCCTGTTTTTCCGTATATTAATTATAAATGGGCTTAGTTTTTCTTCCAGTTAACATTACATACAGTCATCAGTTAAAGTTTTTAAAACATTTATTAGATTCATAAACCATCCTGGATTTTTATCAAACTTGGACAGAAGCTTCTTACAATCAAAAGATAGTATCTAGAGGAAAATGTTTAATAATTTTTTCCCCATTTTTGTTACAGCAAAATTTGCATTATACTTTCAAAAATTGCATGCAGACGAGACACAACTCTTGTGTCAATAGTTTATTTATTTTATCAACATCGTTCTGACATAGACTTCTATCGAAAACTTTTTGTATATATGCCAGTAATTATTCGTCCATAGTACACTGTTTTAGTGCTTGCAGCCTTCGTATTATGTTGCCATGGAATAATAACCGGGGTTGTTGTTATTTTTAACAGAAGAGAAATTTTATTTACTAAAAAGTAGATAAAAATAATTGAATAATCAAAAAGCAGAAAAATTAAACAAATTTAACATTTTTAATGCAAGCAGTTATGCGTCACTTGCCAGTTAACTTGTTTGAAAATTTACTGTATGTGTTTTGTAAACTTCTATCTCATTTTCATTGTTTCATTTGAAATTAAAAAAAAACTAACGAATGATGTATTATAGTTATTGTGTGACAAAGTATGCATAAAAAGAAGACGAATTGACAGAAATGTAGAGGAACATGTTAGTTCATATTATTATACTTCATGTCAAAATGCCAGATTTCGATTGGTTAATACGACGGAGACAATTTACTCTATTCTATTGTAAATACTCTATTACCCTTCACGGAGACGCTTGCTCAAGTGTGCGCTTTAATAAATACGGATGATTGTTATGTACAAGACGACATAGTTAATTACTTAGAATTTGAAATTTAATTTGAATTAAATAACACATATCTGAGAGGGTGTTGGAGCAGATTGTTACCCCTCGAAAAGACATTGCCAACCTTGGCTTCGCCTCAGTTGACAATGTTTTCTCGGGGTAACAATCTGCTCTATCACCCTCTCAGATATGAGTTATTTATTATATATTGTCATGTAGATTTGCTCCTTGAACGATCACGACTAATTCTGCTTCACGTACGTCTATTCTGTTATTGAAGAGTATTTTCGAGTTAAAGAAAAATATACTAGATTTGCGTAAAATATACAGAAATGTACTTAGGTCAAGATGAAAATGGACAAATAAAAATTAATATATAAGTATCTAACATTAATCAAGATGACAGCTCAATTTATTCTTCGCTATTTGAAAATTGAAAAGTTATTTCTCTATGCCTTGCCTAATGATAGTTTATCAAGAACAAAAAAATATTTATATGCTTAATTAAATAACAGCAAACAGAAAGTTAAAAAACTTTAAAATGGGTATGTTTTGAAAACAAAACATATGATTAGTACTGAAAGTCATTGTCATAATTACCTTTGTGTTCTCAGTTAAATAGGTGTGTAATTTAATTCTTCGTAAAGTAACGGAACAAGATTTTCAAAAAATGATACAGATATTAAATGCGCACAATATTCAGTTTGCCCATTGCGATATGGAATTTTAACACAAAAGGGTGAGTAATTTTTTGCCAGTAGACAACAATCTATGAGACAAGAAAGTATTAAATCTTATCTAGAGTCGGTCCATATATGCAGTTAACATTAACACGAATAAAGGGAATACATTGAAAAATAATACCAGACACAGAATTTTGTAGAAAATAATATTTCAAGACCATCACTCCACTTGAGTTTCTAAAAGAAATTCTTAGAACATCTTGTTATATAAAAATACGATATTTGTCACAAAATAAAGCTTGTTTATATATCTTTAAAAGTTTCGGTGAAACTTCTTTGGGTCATCTAACCGTTTTCAATGCGCCCGTTATGTAGTTACTTTTTATATAACATCTTTCAAATACTGTCAATGAAAATAACACTTCAAAAATTTTGTGCGCCCGAAACTCTTGCAACTGGAACGATATTGAAAAAAAACTTAAATTCTCTTACATGGATCTTTGCTGCAAAAAAAAGCTCCCCTACGCTATACATCCTCGATATTTTTTGCAATTTTCGTATTGCATTAAGGTTTCCTCTCGTATAAGATACACTAACTGAAATAAGAAGATGTGGTATCATTGTCAATGAAACAACTTTCCATCATAGACCAAAGAATTGGTTTGTTACTTTGTCTCAAATACGAACACCTATAGCTCGATCGATTGTACAGGGCTGTGATCTCTACACTGGTATCTATAATGACTCCTTACTCTTGGAAATGTTACCGTCCTATCAAGAGGAGACTCTATCGTAATTGCCTTCAAATATTTCAAATTTCAACACATTTCTAAGGCCAAAAAAAATACGAAATTGAGCATTCAAAACCAAAATTTCGAAAAGTTGTGCCAGATACAGCTAAGGCTATCTATGCCCGAGTGAAGAAAAATATTAGTGTTTCGAATATTTCAATTTAACACAAAAGTGATAACTACTGGGTTGCAAGCCATTTCTAACATCATTGCCTTTAAGTTCCAACTAAGTATGGAGGAATCTATCTCATAGATCAGTATGAATCGTTTCTTATCTTTGCCACTGGTTAGTTACCTAGTTACCTAGGGAAAAAACTATTATTTTATGATAGTAAACATTTATGTTTTCCTGTGTTTATTAGGGTTGTTCTTTCTTGTATTAATAGGGGGCCTCGGTTCCCGAGCGGTCTAAGTAGTCGAACTACTGTATCACTAGCCAGTCAACATTGAGGTTGTGAGTTCGAATCCCGCACGGGGCAGGTGCACTCGACTCCAATCTTAATTGACTAGGATTGTCAGTTTTCCTACCGAAGGTCGGTGGTTCTCTCCGGGCGCTCCGGCTTCCTCCACCAATAACAACTGACCGCCACGAAATAGCACAATAGTGTTGAAAGTGGCGTTGAACACCAATCAATCAATCAATCTTGTATTAATAAACATATTGTGTATTCTTATGCCCTACAAACAACACGAAAGGCGTAAGTATTTAATATGTTCGTCCGTTCGCCTATTCATCCGTCAATATTATTATCTGATTAAAAGCTTATCAAAGATACCTGGTTTATAACATTATGATTCACCAGACGCGCGTTTCGTCTACAGGATACTCACCAGTGGCGCTCGAAACAAAATAGTCGAAAATTAGAGAGCATATTGATAATTTAAAAATCCAAAAAGGTTGTGTCAATCTTCTATGCCAGGGGATAGAAAATTCTTAGAATTTCAAATAATTTCCGGATTTTCTAAAACTGTAAATATGAGAAAATAGATTGTAGCAATGATATTTCATGTCAACGCATAAGAGACAATTAATGGGCTGGTGATACACTCGGGTATGAAATGTCCACCAGCAGAAACAGCGACCTAGTGGCAGATAAAACTCATCAAAGATAACAGGTATATGATTTGTTTCACTAGACGTTTCGTGTACATACGTCGCATCCGTGGCTCTCATTCAAATTGTTGAAACGAAGTTGAAGTATTGAAAATAAAAATTCAAATAAAGTTGTCAATTATCCCTAAGGCAATCTATACCTGAGGTTAGAAAATCCTTACTGTTTCGAATAATTCCAGATTTTATAAGCAGTAAATTTAAAAAAATATGATCGTAGTAATGCTATGTCATGTCAAAACAGAAGTGTTGACTACTATAAGCTGTTGATAATGTCCAGTGGTTGTAAAAACTCGTCAAAAATATAAAGTTTTAAAAACATCTTTATAATAAATTGATTTCAGCAAGCACCTTTTCATCTCTCATGCGTGCAGTAAAAATGTGAATCTTGTATTGCCCGAAGACAATTTCTAGGTAAAAATGATTTTTGGTTTCCCATCTATTAAATACACCCAATGCGCGTGTACAAACCATGGAAACGATTTCAATGAAACTCGCATCGTTTCTTCATTCTTAAGTATAATCATGCATTCCGTTTTTAGTTTCAAATGTTAATGGAAAGAGGAATTAAATTATTCCCTGATTAATCAAGTAATGCATCATTTATTTTATAGTTGAGATTTTAAGAATGAATACAAATAGGGTATTTTCTGTCTTAAGATATGTCTATAGTCAACGACTCTTTCCAATCTTATCAAAGGCTTTTCAGCAAAACTTTATCTCTTTTCATCTAGGTTGTGCTTTATGTATTTATTAATCTGCGTTTAGATTCAAAATAGGATCTACAGCAGATAAAATATTTGCAATGCGCTTCTCATTTTATTTAAGGATGGATTTTATTGTAACCTCTTATCTTCGCTCAACATTAAAGTTGAGTACTCTCATATTTGATTTTTGCATTCGAATGGACGAGTGTAGAAGTAAACTTTCAGAGAGGGATTCTCGTGCAAAGTGACTGTCTGTTTTTCCACTCGTGGCTCTTTCTAAGCAATTAAATGGATTGCAACGAAGTTGTATCACGTCTTCTCCGTGTTGTGAATCATATATAATAGGTTTTTCGTTTAGTACTCTAAAATGAGGTTATTGTGGAAACCAATTGGACATTAACATTAAGTAGCACTTTTATTATAGCTGAAAAATGTGGTGTCTTTTTATTGATGTTGGTGTTTGATTTTTGGGAGAAGGGGTAAGAGTGAATCCAAGGCTCACTTACATCTACATATACTTTTTTAAGTATGTCTCTCTGAACTAGAGTATACGAGGAATACATTATTTTTAATTGGATACCTTTTCATTTTACTTTAAAGATCAAGAAGAAGGAAGTGTGTATTCACGAAATATATTTTTTCTCGTTAAAGTGAAATTCGATACTTCTTTTTAAATGGTATATTATGTTTAACTATAGGCGAGACGCAATATTTTAATAAAGTCGGTTTAAAAAGAAAATATACTTAAACAAAGTATTATTTTGTATTACTTTAAATTTTCTATAATTAAAAGTAATTGTTCTTTACTAGATCATAATTGGTTGATTTGTAAACTCTAGCTAACCGAACAGTTAACGTCTATTTTTCAGTAGTTAGAACTTTGCCCGATATAAATGTACACCAACAAACACGCTAATCATATTTTCAAAAGTGCTGGAAAATTTGGTCATTCCTTCATACATTTAACTATCTGACTTTCACCTTACTCCAAAATGTTTCGTGCTTAATAGACTAGCAGCAAATACCGATTTATGTCTGTAGGCCCCGCACCAAAGATGCGCAATCATTTTGTTTTCTATTTATCTGTCGGTCAGCAACTTTTTGTAAGCACGAGTTTCCCTTAACTAGGCTTTGGAATACAACTAGATTTATACAGTTGTGTGGGCTAATATGTATTTCTGTAAAGTTTTTCGAAATAGTTTTTTCTAGAGTTATTGGTGTTAAATCGTTAAAAGCAGTTGTTGTGAGCACTATTTCGTCTAAAGTATGCTTTGATTCGCAATGACATTTTACGCAATTGTCCAATTCAACGTATACTTTTGTTCTTTGCCAAGGGTTTCAGTGAGCTTCATTTTACAGCGGGGCACATACGAACAGGTATTTATCGAGTTTTTAGATTAAATTTACATGCATTACTCAAAACGTTTTTCGGAAGCTTAGACTTTTAGGTATATTGCTATTTGCTTTTCATAGTTCCTTTTTGACGTGATT